TTGAAAGCTCTGAAAATTAACATTCAAAGTTTGAATTTAGAAAAATGTTATTTTAACTGTAATTTTTTTAGTTTTGAATCCGACCAGGCACTTATTACTATTAATAATGTAATTTTTTTGTACTAGTGAAAAAAAAATGAATTTGAATCAAGAGAAAAATTATTTTCTTGATTCAAGTAATTCTTTTCCGTGTAAAATCGCAGTTTTAAAAACAATATAAATAAAAAAATAATTAAAACCAATATCTCAGCCGTAAAAACTTCAACGCAAACAACTTTCTATCTAAAATCTCACGTCCTTACTTCAAAGTAAAACCCAAAAATTAGAATATTTACTCGACATAACCCATCGACCTGCATACATCTGGTTAACTTTGTCCCGCAACAAACTAACAAATCACGCGCTAATTCCACCACCCACCCCGTAAAAAATTCAAAAAAAAAAAAAAGTATCTCTTATCTCTCAACTGCACTGTTATTCCCCAAAAAGTGTAGCAGAGTTAAGTACCAGCGAATTAGCTTTTAACCGCGGATATGTCCGCCATAAATAACGTGAAACTTTAAAATCAGTAGTTTCAGCGACGTGGATTTAATCTCCTTGTTAATCGCAGAACTTACCACTTACCTACTGCCCGATCTGTAGATCCTCCCCTTCCTCAGGAATTGCAATCCATCGTGGAAAGCTCGCCGTACACAGACCAGACTGCGTACTGCATAAACGTATGAACACATAAATATGCATGCAGATCTCTATTCTCTTAGCATGCCCACGCGTGCCGCGAATATCGTACACCAGTGCTCCAACTACGTCATCTCCGCGTCACGGACTCGGTGGTATTGATCGAAGGGGATGTAGCTTTAGCTTCTGGTTTTCTTTCTCTCTCCCACAAGTGAGCAGAGTTCTCCGTCTTTTACCGATTAACACTCGGTACTTTCACTTATAAATACAAATCTCAAAAATATTTATAAATAATTATCCATCTTGGTATTCATTACAGAATACTTGTTATTCGATTTATTACTCCAGCTTGCTCCAACTGAAATTTAAACAATACACTTACTGTAATTGCAAGGACAATGACGGAAAATCTCAACCTGTTACTCACCTCTTTTTTGTCCTGCTATTTTATTTTACTACCAGTTTTTACTTTTACGAGCTTACATATACATAATTAACGGATAAATATAAACTGATGTATACTTTACACCCCAGTTACTTTTTGACCCTCGATACCGATGTAAATCAACGGTAATAAGCTCAGTCATGGGTAATTACTCTTATCCTCACGGACATCTGTTTTCGATTAGCTTGTCCAAAAAATATATAATCCGTGACACATATAAATAAGCTTCTAACAAAGTTATTCCCTATATATTTTAATCTCCAAATACTAATGAGACAATAGGATTGTGTTATTTAAAAATATAAATATTTAACGATGATATTTTACTTTTTGACGGGAAAAAATTATAACTAATTTGAAGGGTGTCAATTAAGGGGATACAATGACACGGAATATTTTTTTATGATAGGTAAAATTCACACCCTCGAAAATGTATTTTTACAAAAGGACTAAAAATATCTAAGATATTTATTTGTATTCCTACAGTTTTTCCTTCAATTTTACAATTGCACGCCTCATAAGCGAAGCGGATGAGGTTGTGCTCTACACTCGTCTTACAAAAATCAAGCGATTTCTTGAACTAAAATTGACTCTATTTATTTTATATCGCACTTGTAGAACAATATTTACATATAAATGTAATGGAAAAGCACTAATTTCAACACATGACATTTTTAAAAGACATTTTGTTTTTTAAATAAATAAAAAAAATGTTTAAATAAATTATTCCGTGGACCTCCGGCTGTCAAATGTATGTAATAATATATTAAATATTTTTAATAATATATTTAACAATAATTTCTGGCGTTTTAATAAATAGAAATCATCCTTACCATCTCGAGCGAAAAGTATAAATAATTATTTCCTAAAAATTCTGATAGATGGCGTTTAGAATTTTTTCCTATCTTATTATACCCGTAAAAATACTTGTTTTATATTGTTAAAAATTTTTAACATAATTAAATATTATTTTTGATCTTTTAATTACAAATTTATAATTCAATAAAAATTTCAATAATTAAAATAAATTAATTAAATAATTATCAATTTGTCTTAAAATAAGAATCTACTGTATAAAGTTTTTTGTGATTGTTTGCAAAGTGAACATATAAAAGTTTATGTGATTTTTATACGCCGTAAAAAAAAGCTCGCCGTAAATTACGACGTGTGATTTTTCAGCAGACAAGAGGTCTCCGGAAGTGGAATTAACCGTTTACAAAAACATTTCAATTCATTGCTTTTCGGTGTTTTTACTGTATATTTTTTGTTGCTGTTTTTCGAGAACCCAGAGTTGAGCCACTGGCAGAAATACTTTGAAGCATCAATGTATCAATAGAGCAGCATTAGAGACGACATGTTGCACTCGAAACATCAATAAGTCTATTGTCCGGGTCTTTGAGTCCACAGTGACTTTCAATGGGCTGTCATAAGCATCTCTCTCACGTTTACTTCTTCCCGATGCTCTTTTCCTCTATATTTTTCACCCATTACGTCAAATACGTGACTCTTTTAGCAATTCTTCACACATATCATGCTTATTCTGGTGGATTCAATTTAAAACAGAGCTCTCTCTTAAGGAAATAAAAATCCACGGAAATTAAAAAAAACTTCATTGATTTTTCAAATAAAAAACTAATTTTCATCTAATTATTTTTAATTCTCACTTTAAATTTAAATTTAAATAAAAATATGAATACTCTGTGCATGGAAATAAATTTCTGAAGAACGAATTTAAGTGGGTCTCGCATACAAAAAAAGAAGAAGTAAAAAGTGAGTTGCGGGAAAAATTGCAGAAATGAATAGAGCAGAATCAAATGCAGCAGTATGAATCCTTCTTTCAAGAAAGCTATTTAAGACGATATTCTTGCTAATTATTTCTGTAGCTGATCCGTATAATTGCATAATATTTCAATTTAAATGCACAATTAATTTCTTCACGTTTTTTTTTTTTTTACATAATTACTTGACTATTTTCTTCAGCTAATAGTTTTAACTTTAGCATGTTAATTGTTAATATAAATTTTTTATTCAACTGAAAATAGCTGTTAAGTAGTAATTATTGAGGTTAAAAACTATTTCTGGGATTAATTTTCATCAATCGGGTTTTATTTTAATGTATTATTTTTTTTTTAATTTTTTTTGATGAAGTTTTATATATTTTTCGATAAATTATCAAAGAATAAAAAGAACTGTAAAAGTTTTGCAAAAAACTGCAGCAGGTTTTAATTAAAAGTCATTTTTCCGTGAAAATTTTCACATTAAGGGCCAATTTTCGTTTTAAAGCTAATAAAGCTTGATCTATTGGTTTATAATTTAAATTTTTTAGATATTTTCTGGATACACCCATCAATTATTTCATTTAAAACCTAAATTGGTTCAATAATTCATCTAACTACAAACGAATTATAAATAATCTTAAACTTAACTCTTTAGTAAGGAGACAGATTAACGATCACGCGCCATCTGTCGGAGTTTTTTAAAACTACTTTTGATTCAAAAATTGTATATGGGCATATTTAGTCATATCAAGCCGGATATGCTCGTATTTGTTCTGGAACGACTAATTTTCTTTCTCAAAATATTTTTCCCAATTTTGGCTAAAATTTTTTTAATTCTTTAATAAAATTAACATGAAAAATATATGTTGCAAACTATTCGTAACGTCATTGGTCAAATATATCATAAGCATGAAAATATATGCAAACTCTACAGTTAGGCGCGCTTACGCGCGCAAATTAAATTCTAGTTCAAAAAAAATCAACATTATTTTTTGGACAAAAAATAACATTTCAAAAATCTATCGGTAAAATACTGTTAGTGTGTATAATTTATTATTATAAATATTTTAAAGAGTCTCCTAAAAAATTCTACAACACAAAAAAATATCAAAAAATGAAAATTTGAAAAAACAATTAATAAAAATGTTATCAAAAATAAAATGAAGATTAAAGTTACATGTTTTAAATTAACCAAAAATCAATGACGATTTATTTCTCCGGTTTGATGAAATCAAATGCATTATTAATTAACCGAACCGCGACACATTAATCTTTAAATAAAACCAATACAAAATGTACAATGCGCGCTATCGGATCCACAAACTCTGTAAAAATAAGCTTAATCGATAAAAAATTTGATCATTTTCAATAAAATAGCTCCGAAAAATGAATCGGGTAATTTATTGATAAAGATATCGGTTTAATCTTCTCAGCTGAGAGCGCTAATAAATTTCAAAATAATAATCGGACATGTTTTCCGTGTAGAAGTTATGAAAACGGAATTTTCCTTTTTCTGACATGTGCACATATACATTTAAAGATTAATCAAGACAGATTAGTGTACATATTTTAAAATAAAAAAGTGACATCGATTATCGAGCGGCGGTATCAGGTCATGGCTCATTGTTGCGCTTTCTCATATATTTTATAAATAATTAGAAAAAGAAAACCGTAAGCTTTACTGCTAATTTATTATTTTTAACACCGTTTACATTTTATATGGCGTTAGACGCTTTGATAGGCTTTTAATAAGTTTGCTACGTTAAGTGCTTTGTAAATCTGTAACACACCATTTATGTGTCTTATGTGATCTATATTATTAATTATTATTATTATTATTATATGTCTATTTGTATAGTTGATGTTCCTTTGAATGGGTGGAAATTCAAAAGATAATCCTTTGTTTTAACAGAGCATCTATTTTCAATTATTGGTTGTTGAATGCCTTACAAACGGATTATGCAGATCTAGTTTAATGAACTGCAGATGAGCTCGCTCGACGTGCTTTCATTTATATAAATCAACAATTGTTCCTTTGATAACATTCACCCGCAAAAGTGCCCAGCTGATAGATGTCAAGTCATCCATAATTTTATTATTCAAGCGCTAGAGTGTGTTGCTGTTTCATCATCACCAAACTTGTTCTCGGCTTCTTGTTCTATCGTTTCTGCCGATTGTACCGGAGTGATTGATTGGTTGTCGGGTTCGTTCGAGTCAAGATCAAAATTTGGCGTGATAGATGCACTCTGCGAGTAAAACTAACACACAAAACCCGAAACCAAATGAGAGGAACATCAATAAGAGGGAATTCCTTCATCATAACGAACGTCGGTTTCAACTGTGATTTTCTGAAAAATTACATATTTAATTTCTTTGCTTTCATACTAAAAATTAACTGACAATACACTTTACTCAGTACTATGATTTATGAAGAACAAACATTAAATAAACTACTACTTTTTCAATCTAACATTATGAGCAATAATTGCCATAAGTAATACATTTGTAACTTTCTAAGCGCTAAAGTGTGGTACTGTTTCATCATGATCAAACTTTTCTTCAATATCTTGTTCTGCTGTTCCTGCCGATTGTACCGGAGTGATTGATTGGCTGTCGGGTTCGTTCGAGTCGCGATCGAATTTTGCGTGATAAATGCACTCTGCGAATAAAATAAACACAGATAAGCCGAAACCAAACGAGAGGAACATCAATGAGGGGGCAAATTCTTTCATCATCACTGGCATTGGTTTTGAACTGTGACTTTCTGGACACGGTGGCTTTTTGTAACGCCAATGTTTTCTAAGACGATTAGCTAGTCCGTGTTCTACTGATTTTCTACACCTGCAAAAGTTAAATTGGCAATTATCAATACTAATGATTTAGTTTTTATTGAAGTGTTTTGACTTTACTTAAATTCAAATTAAAAAAAAAAAAAAAAAAAAAAAAAAAAAAAACTATATAAAACTATATAAAACTTGATCAAAAAAATTCATAAACAAATTCACCCATAAGTTATCATTTCTTTAAATGGAGAATGTCTTGGAACTCCAACATAAACTTCCCTTGCTGCCCGAATAGGAATTTCTTGAAGTTCACATATTTGATCTTCCGTAAATAAATCCTGTTTAAAAAAATATTATCATTTAAATTAATTTAAAAATCTCAAATTTTCTGATACAGTAAAATTTCAATAATAAAATTTTGTATTTCTCTTCCTCAAAATCTAGGCCTCTATAAATTTTCTGTACAAAAGAAAATTAACTTAAACTAAAAAAAATTTATTATTTCAAATTTTTGACTAAACTCTAAACAAAAATTTTTATTCAAACTTTCATAAAAAATTAAAAAAAATACCTATTAGTAACATTTCGATGTTCTAATTAGCAAATTGTCCAATGTTATCTTAGAAAATCTTTTATTTGTGCGAAAAAACAATTGTTCAAAATTTATTATCCCTAAAAAATAATTTAATATCCAATAAAGGTATAATATTTTCGTTTTGACCATTCAAATAAATAATTTATAATTAAACTATTGCTACATCAAAATGTTAAAAAATCACCTTCTAAAAAATAAGGAGTTAGACCAATTGCTAATTAGACCGTCGATTTGAATAAAAGTTACCTTTTCTAAATCAAAATTTAAATTTTAAAGGTAACTGATCAAAATTAAGACGCTATTCAAATTTCTAGTTAGATTCAATAAAACTTGAATTTTTAATATTGAATGTATACTTCTATAATCCTATAAGCCGTAGTGTCTTCAATGTGAAAAGCGAACGGTTCATCCCGAACTTTGAGGAGTCCTTCAACAGCCGGAAAATAGGATCCCCTTGGTAGCTTCTTGGTCGGCTTTATTTTCTTCTCGTGCATTTCAATAGCTGTTTCTAAGTACGTCGTCTAAAAATTTCCATATAAATTTTATTAAATCATAAGCTACCCTTCTACAATTTATTTGCATATTTTTTTTTTTATTAAACCAGATTGGAATACAGATATTACATAAAATATAAAGACATATTTGTCTTATAATAAGGCGAAAAATTTAAATATGAAATAATAATATAATTTAATACTTACCGCATAAAAGTCTCTGTAGTAATCCATGTCCTCCATTCCGCAGCTCAAACTACTGTCAGTCAAATTTTTCAATGTAGTAATCCAGAACGCAGGTGGCGCTAGTAAGAACCCAACAACCGTCGCTGAGTAGAATTGAAATAGAAGAAGCGTCCAAATAAATAATGACAAAAAAGCGATTCGTCCAGAAATAAGACGGGGACTATCATTTGCTCCTATTTTATTTTTAAAATTATTAATCGATTAATTGAATTAATTTTGAGATTGAAGAGGTCAAAAAAAATAAGGACAATAATTATATTACCTTGCTGAAACAAAGCAGCCATAGTTATAAGACTGGTTTCTGTTGCCGGTAATGACATCAAAGAATTGTCTGGAACTTTGATATTCTCCACATGAGATTCGGCTTTGGTTGTTACGAAAAGAATGAACCAATAAACACCAGCCACCCCGAAGACAATGTACCATAAGCTGGTATCAAATGGTTTCAGGAATCCATTTTGCATGTCATTTTTCTTGGGATGCCGAAAGAAAAATACTGTCCTGCAACGAACATTAAATGTAAAAAAAATGAAAGGAAGAATCACCAGAAAATTTATTTAAAATTTTACCTAATAGTCATTACGTGTACAGTATAGTCAATAACTTCCAGACGATCACGTTTAATTTGAAATGGCGTCGAACTTATGTCAACAATGCCTTTGTCCATGTCGCCGATTATTCCGTCGAAGGTTCCGTTTAATTTGTATCCCCAGCTTATATCTCGTTTCATGTTAATACTTTCAAAAATGAGTTAATTAATTTAAAATATTTTTTTAGGAATTTAATTAATTTAAATTTGAAAAAATTCTAAACGCCATCTATCAGGATTCGTAAGAGATAATTCTTGAGACTTTTTGCTCGAGATGATAAGAAAGATTTCTATTTATTAAAACGCCATATTGTTATTGATTACTTTGGCGATAATCTTCAATTTATTTTAATAATAAAAATAGGAGAAAAAATAGTAAAAAATTTTGGAAAATCCAAAATCAAGAGAAAATACAAGAAATAATACCTATACAGCAAGTTACTCAAACAACTTACGAAAAATTGTAGTATTCCTTCAATTGCAACACTATTTGATAAGTAAACCGACTCATAGTATCAAGATGGATATCTATGGGGGTCGTTAGATAAGTTTCCAAGTCAGGTTTCGGATCATTTACCAACTGAAACAGTAAAAGGAGCTGAATACTAGCAAGTAATTGAATCAAGGAAGAAAAAGTCTGCTTACGACGATTGAAACGTTTAGCGGTAATAAATTAAAATTCTGACGGCGGTGATACTTGAATTGGTGCTTAAAATTATTAACCAATTTATGCTCAGGGGTCCAGTAGCCCATGAGAGTTACATTAATTACACCTCCGTGAAGATAACTCGGGTTGTACACATCGTAGAGGTTGTAAGTGTTGTTCTCTCGAATCGCTACGGTCATTTCGCTCGCAACCGACAGGGGAAGATCTCTCAGCGACGGTGTCGGGAATTCTAATGACTCGGTTAGCAGAACCCACCGATAAGATTCATTGAACGCCAGTTGCCTGGAAAACTTCTCGAATTGGTATCAATGAAATTATCCTTGTATTGCTTTATTTTTTTACTAGATTAATTTTTATTTCAATTTGCAATTTTTTGATAATAATTTATATAGTTAAAAGAATAAAAATTTTTTCTTCCAAGTATTTACACAGTAAAAAATTTTGTGTTAAATATTTAACACTTTTTAGTATTAATTTAATAGAATAAATATCAAATTCACACATAAAAGTGTTAAATATTTAACACTAAGTTTTTTGAATTAATGACACAAAATTTTTTATTGTATACATGAAAATATAAGTAATTTTTTTTTTTAATTTTGACTCATAAATATATTCAAATGTCAAATATTTATCTATATTAATTAACAGAATAAGCAAAAATTTTTTTCCGGGAATATTTTTATTATAAAAATTAAGTTTCTTTACTTAAAAAGTCGTAATTTGATATATTTTTATTTAGTCAATTTATCATTTAAATGATTAAAAGAATAAGTCAAATATTTTTATTTTAAATGCAAAGTTTTGACCGTAATTTTTGCCTTTTAACAATTTAAATATTTTTTTATGATATTGAATTTTTTATAACTTTTTGTAATTGATCCTAAAATATCAATATTTTTTTTTATTATTTCAAAAAGTACTAAAGAAAAAATTTTATTTTGTTTAAAAAATTTTTAATAAAAATTATTTTTATTCTGAGTAATTTTTTTTCTGAAATTATAATTATTATTATTATTATTATTTTTATGAATAAAAAATTTTGTAAAATTACGTATGTTAATGTACAATTGTAATTAAAAACATAAATGTACCTGAAGTTCCGAACGTTCATTTATGAACGAAAATCAAAAAAAAATTTTTTTTGCTCCTGAAACTGAAAATGGTTTTTCAGTTTCGAATAGAGACAGTGAGCCCTAAAAATGATATATTAGCCCCTCAAAACACAAAAACCACCCCTCCAGCCACCCCAAAAACTTACACTTGGAAAAAAAAATTTAAGATAAAATCCTTCCAAGGGCCCTTTGAAGCTGGCGATTTTTTATAAGACTCATACAATACCCCCACACAATATAAAAAATCACCAAAGCATTAGCTGCCCCGGAACTACCCCACCAGCCACCCCAAAGTTTTACCCTTATTATAACATTTTCGCGATCCCGTAATAGGAACAATTCCACGGTTTGTGATCAGCAAAAATAAAATGTATGTAAAATTCTTAGTCCGTTGACTGAATAGCTATATGTAATGTTAAATTTTGGAAACGTTACAATGACTTTTTTGTCGCTGCCAAAGAGACGATTGTTGTAAGAAAATATCACTATTAAGTAAGAAAAATATTTAAATCCGTTGACCTTGGAGGCCATCCCGGTATTTGTCTGTTTCTCTTGAGATTCTATCAAATTTTATATTTGTAGGAACTGTATTTGAAGAATATGAATTTTTTGACAATTATCACTCCCGCACTCCTATGTGGGGGAGGAACTTCGTAAGATCCTATCCGAGATAATTTCTACATTATAAATAAAAGATTCCAACAAAA